CACCGAGAAATTCCAGTGCGCAGTGCTGGATTGCATTCTTGATGAAATTGAACAGCAACCACCTCGCCGCGCACAACGCGTTACATGGAGCGATGATATCAAGTAAAACGATTTGAATTTGTTTTCTTTATTTCAGCTTGCAATTTTTCTTTGTTGGGGCACGACAGTCAGCTGCAATTGTTGTATTTTTGCAGGGAATGTCTAGTAAATGTTGGTGATGACGATGAATCAAAGCAGCAGCAGGAGACCACCAGTAAAGGTAAAATTCTGAAATCTGCAAGATGAAGCTTGTTTAGCAGTCCTGATATTTTTGTTTTTGCTTCTAAAATTTAAGATTTTTTGGTATATCAGATACTTTTATGGAATTCGTCTCCGGATACCTTATTATGCTGTGAGAGTGGAAATGTACTAGACGGCTTCAAGACATTTTAAGGGGAAAATCCCGATTGTCTCCATGTATGTCGGGAAGGCACTGTGCCGCGTTTTGACTGGCTAGATTTGGCTAATACGACAGAAAGTTATAACAGGAAAGAATAGAAAAAAAGAGAAAAAAAGGAAAAGAGAGAAATGAAAGTTAGAAAATTTGTGAAATTATTGTAATGGTAAGAAGTGTTTTGGTCCATCAAGTCATATACATTTCTTAACATTACCACACCTGGACCTCGTCAGTACAACGATTATGGCAATTGAAGTTAATGAATGTTGGAGTTAAATTAGTTGTGTAATGCATGTTTGTGGTGAACAGAATGTTATGGAAAATAAGTAGTAATGCAGCAAATATTAAAATTGTTTAATTGATTAATGCGAGGGGAAAGAAGTGAGATCTTGCCGCAGACAGTTTTGTTGATTCTATGATATTAATAAATGACAAGGAAAATATAAACCTGGAACAGGGGCTCCAAAAATACCACACAAGATGGCAGGACTTGTCGATAGCAACGTTGCTAACATCGGAAACCAGGGAAGCTAGAAAGTTGAAATTTTAGGGGGGCTTTTTCTGACTTTCCTGGCGACCAGTTTTAATTCGTTTTGCTGGAAGCATCTGCAGGAGAAACCGGTGCCGTTCTTTTTTGGATTGTTGCTTCAGAAGCTTTTTTGACGCTTTGGGATGCTCTATTGTCAATTTTTTTCGAGCGAACGGAGCTCATCAAGAGATTAATTTTCCCACTGAATCTCTTAAGTTAGAAAGGTAAATGAAGATAAAAGCAGTAGTCGTGGTCTTGGGGAACTATTTTGCAATGTGGGTGCGCTCAGACAAATGTCCAGTTGTGGTAATTGGTAAGAAATGTATACGTTTTAATGAACCAAAACATTTCCTACCGTTATAATTATTTTAATATATATGTATAACTTTACTACTTTTAGTAAAATCATAATTTAAATCTATTTTAATAATTTAAATTTTAGTAAAATTAAAATAAATTTATAATTTAAAATTTAAAGACTTATAAAATTATAATAATTTACTTTTAGTAAAAATTCCTACACCAAGATATGTTTGTACTGTTTAGAAGAACAGTCGTCGACAGCAGCACCAGCCGATAGCAGCCAGACAAAACCGATGTCCCAGGACTCGATGTATGATGAGACGTGCGAAGTGAGTGCCATTTTGTTGCTTCATTCGTTTGATTAGCTATAGAAAGATATATTAGTAACGGTTGAAATCCCCGAGTTATGAACTTACCCGAAAAAATTTTGGCGGGCTCGTACGCGGGTACCACGCTTACCCGGGGGCTGGTTTTGAGCCCACTGATACCCACTTGGACGGGGAACATTCCAAAAAGAAAGGTGGGAAATGAGAACTAGAAAATTGCTAAAATTATTATAATGGTAAGAAATGTTTCGGTCTATTAAGTCGTATACATTTTTTACTCTCTCATTTCATTGTTCCACACACCTCTAAGCCATCAAAATACAGCTAGAAATCTTTTGGCTGCTATTGCCAAAGTGGTCACCACCGAGTGGTCGCACTTTTACTGGGCACTTTTCTCTCGTTTTTTCGTTCTTCGAAAGAAAAACGCTTGATTTGCTTGTATGAAGAATGGAGATTACATGATGCTTCATTTCCTTCCAATTCATGATTCATCGTATACTTCTAAATAACAAGTGCCCATTCTTTTCCCGTGAATATTTCGCTGTTTTTATAAAAATTAGTGCTGCAAATCACATTAATTTCTCTCTGCAGCCATCAAATTAACGTTTTTTGCATTATATGACATCTAGCATGGCCAGACACCCATCCCTGGCTATTCACGGATTTAGTTGTTGGATAGTCGCTGTTTTTTAAAAAATGTGGAATAAAAAAGCTCTCATTTGAAAATAAACCAATTTTAGCAGTATTAAAAGCGTCATCCTTCTCTTCAAGCCAGGAAGCAGAACTCTTAAAATAGTAGAATAGAGGGACTGGACTAAGCATTATTTGTGAAATTTTATGATGCATTGTCTATGTTTCATCCCTTAGCTGTAAACACAGACTGAACTATGCATGCGAGTCGGAGCGGGAATCATCAGTAAAGCCTCCTAACTGCCTAGTACTGAACAGTCATATAACTAATTTGCAAGACGGATATGCAAATGGGAGAGAAAACAGATAGGAAGTAGGCTAACCAATCTCTCAATTTGTCTTACTAGTCAAAGGGGAAGACGAAATTCATGGTCTGAGGCGCAGGTACTGACTGTTTTTCGCCGACAGTTTATCCTGAGTTTTTTCCAGACTATTATAACGGCTCTGTGTACGGTTGGCAAGCCATGTTTGGTGGAGCATTCCTACATTGGTGCTGCAATTACGAATACCTCTAGCCAGGACCTGACGCTTGTTGGTATTGGTGTGTCAGTAAATGTTGCAAAAATTATCAGACGTGAGTTTTTCCTTCCCATAAAGCTGCTAAAAAAATTTTTCAAGTTGGCGAAGTAACACGAAAAAATTCATCTTTTTTTTTAATTTTGCTTTTTTAAAATCTAAAACGCAAAATTCCTATCTCTTTTTTTAAGAATTTTTTTGTTTGTTGAGATATTTGGTACAATGATAAATCGTTGTCAGGTTAGCACAGATGGGCCCATGGGTGAACCTGGTCCCTGTACGATTCGTTGTTTCGTTTTTGTGATAAAGTTGAAGTTTTTGCAGCTTGTTTGTCAAGCAATCTTTGGAAAAGGGGGCCATTGAAAGTTTCGATTTAACTTTGACTCATTACCTCCAACTTTTAGGCAAATGTAAATTTGAACAAATTATTTTTTTTTGAATTTTTTTTTTGGTTTTTTTCTTTTTCCAATCGAAATTTGACAAAATTTTTGCAGGATTTCAACAGACCAGATTGAATATAGATGTTGAAACACCTACATCGAACACAGCCGATGGGGCAAACGATGCGGAAGCAGCAGCAGACGGTGCTCAGACCAGTAGTAGCATTAATGAAGCTAGTAAAGATGTGCCACTTCGTCCACTTTTGGCTTTCTTCCAATTGGAAAACGCAGAAACTTATGGTCCCAGAAAACGATTAATTTCTACACGTTAGCATTTCATTTTTTTTTTTGATTTTCGAATAATTTTAGAGATGCATTATGTAAATATGAAGAATTTGTTGTTGGTTATGTTTAAAATTGTTGGCGGTTTTTTATTTTTGGGTTCTGAAGGGCACTTGATCAGTTGTAATTCAGAATTTTCTTTTGCGGTGGGATTGGCAACTTTTCCAGTTGTTTTTGACCAGTGCTGTATTGCTTGGCGGACAGTTTGATTCCGATTTTTGCAGTTATTTGTCTGCTTAAGATTTTAACTAGTTCAGCGGTTCTCCTGACAAAAACTTTGACCTTAATCGTTTCGGAGTGCCTTTGGTGCTTTTAAGCACCACCCTCTCAACTCAAGTTCTTTCACTTCTAGATCAGATTATCGAGGATAAAAATGAGCAAATGTGTGAAGTGTTTTGGAAATTTTTTTGAAAAATGTAAACTATGAAAGTTTGTTTGACACTATAAAGTTTGTTTGTGAAGCTGAGTGAAGACTTTACTGCTCATGAGTCATATTTGGTCTCCCACGTTACGCTAATGATGCCTGAATTATAAATTTGTGGAAGTACGGAAATTTGTAAATTTGCACCGTTTTTTTTTAAATTTCTAAAATCAATTAAAATTTCAGAAGACGGGAAGCCAACAGAGAACAAGACGACACAGTTAAGCTGGTCACAGGAAGTGGATTTGTACGAAGTACTGATGGATACCGATTGTAAGTTCCTTCACACACCTGATTTTGTAGTTTACCTTTGGAAGCCTCATTAATTGATTCTATGAGCAGAAAAAAAAAGAAATTTTTTTCATTTTTTTCTTTTTTTTGTTAAATGGGAAAGCAAATAAAAAAAGATATCACGGCCCTGCGTAATCTTCAATCACTGTTGTAGAGGTGATAAGTAGGAAATTTATGAGTTGAAGGGTGCAAGAAATTTAAATATGGGTTATTTTGGGTCTGGGAGAGATGGCAAACTTCTAGAGTATGCAATGAAGCATCTGTCTTTGTTCTTTTCGGTTTTGAATTGAAATTATCATCCGTTTTATAGATTTTTTTAAAAAAAAATTATAGATCTTAAAATAGGTTTTAGAATTTATAGGTTTTATAGATTTTTTTAAAAAGATTTTTTAAAAAAAAGATTTTTTTTTTTGCTTCAGCTGCTTTTAATTTTTAGCTGAGCCATATGAGAAGTGGTCCTCGACACCAGTGAAGAACGAACTGAAGTTCGACGATAAAGGTGGAAGTGATTATATGCCGATCAATTACGAACCGCAACCAACTGAAATTTCGTTTGTTCAGTGTTTCCGATTACCTGCTCCCCTGAATAATACCGATATGGAAGTGAGCCACTTTTTTGATTTTGTAAAATACCTATTTATTAACCAAAAAATTAGCGATTCGCGCCTGATAGCTGATACGATCGCAAATTTTTTTTTGCGGTTGCACCCAGCTGACGCCCACCGTTAATAATGTTCATTGTTGCGCGTGAGCACAAAACGTCTTAAAATTTCAGCTTTCTATCTTTTCCGATTTCGCAGTAGAAAACTTCCTGTTTGAAGTTGTACATGTATGTGCCTTTATGTGAGATGCAGACATGTCAGAGTCATGCAGAAGTAAGAAAAATCCTCGCAAAATTTCAGCTTTCTATCTTGTTTGGTTCCCGATTTCGAATGGCACGGGCCTTTTGCAGTTTCAGCGTTTATGTACGGGAAAGTGAGACTTGGGCGTGTGGGAAGACGAATTTTTTTTTTTTAAATTTTCAAAACCGCTCATTTTTCCTGCTAGGATTAAAGAGTGTGTGAGTGAAATATTATTGTATCTTTTTTCAGATATCAGCGATTGTTCCAGTGCAAGGTATTTTCTTGGTTGTGATTG